ACCTCTGGAAGCCATAACCCAGGCTCTGTGGCAACAGGGTGGTTTGCCATCAGTGCTCATAAAGCATGCCATTTGGTCAGGCTTGGGAGGAACTGCTTCCATAATATAAAGTCTACAAACTTTCCACAGCAAGGATCACTGTCTCTGTGTTGCCCCTGGACATGTCCATGGTACCAACCGTGCTGTATGTTTTCCCATGTTTTGTCTTCCATTCCTCCCATACAGCATCCAAACTGGGATCACGTGTTGGAGCAGCTGAGACCAACCCCAAGCAAAGGGTGGCCAGGAGGAAAATTGGAGTCATGCTTCCTAACCCTAGAAGTGGAGAAGAAATGAGGTTTTGGTGATATTTCTCCCTCAGAAATTCAGGCTGCTGCAGTGGAATAAAATTATTTGGATCATTCTATCTATGATTTTCCTAAATTTGATGAAAAGCCTAAGAATGCCTATGTTTCATTCAATCATATTTGTATATAGGAATTCCTTTAGTGGAAAAGAAAAAAACAGACAAAGAATGAAGAACAACTGCCCATGGACCCAGGATTTGGAGTGTGTGTGCAGTGTGCCCTTAGCTCACCACAGGGTCTGTGTACACCTTCTGCTTCAGATGATTAAAGCAGTAGTTAACTTCAGACATAGGTGGCTCGGATTTTGTGCCATTGTCATTGAGGTCACTTAAGTTAAACGTGACTTATGTACAGTGTGATCCATAGTACATACAAAGAGTTCTGCAAGATTCGAAGGTCACCAGGTATCTTTTTCTTGACCAGTGTACACCAAGAAAGAGACAATGCCTTGGTTCTTACATTTCTGAAATCTTTCTTGGATTCCCTCTCTAGAAAACCTTCGAAGTATAACAGTTAGGAATCTGTCTGTCCCATAACTGTGATGGGCCTTCAGAATCTCACGTCACAGTTTCAATAAGGATAGGTCACAAGGCTAATTTATTAAATGTCAGATCCCCCTGTAATACGTGGGGTTGAAGGACAGACTAGTTCAGAATTTCAGACTTAAGTTGTATAATATTTTGATGGAATGCTCCAGATAGGGCACATTACAGGAGGCATGCAACATGCTACTTCTGCACTTGCCAGATTGGACCTATGGATTATATTTGACAGCAGTATGAATAACAATGATTCCAGTTGTTATAAGAGTAATGCCCATGGCACTTACAGTTTAGCGGACAAGCTGGTACTTCTTGTGCCTTGAAATTCACCTTACTTTTACCCTACCCCCTGAAAGTTCTGGTGACTTTCTGCGATCTCCATTCATCATACTTTACATCCCTACCACAGGTGTGCTAGGGTTGAGTTGATATTCTCATCCCTGAGGGAGCTGCACGATGCTTCAGGGAGTCTCTTTAGAGTGTTCCTGCAGTGTCAACTCCAAGTCTCCCTTGATAAAGCTATGGGACTCACCTGGGATGTCCACAGCTGGGCAGGTGTGCTTCACAGTCTCAGGTCTTCAGAGGTTGCTGAGATCCCAGGTTCTGACACAGCTGCATGTGGATCCAGACTTTATATCCCAAACTGTGGCTCCAGGACAGTGTCCCTGCTCGGTTGTTCTTCCCTGTGTTTGGCTAGGTGAGCTATTGGCCTACACCTCCAGGCTGTGGGACTTCAGGCACATACTGACACTGATTCTCACCCTGAACTGGGGCCTTGGGTGTAGGCTGCCTTGGTGGACTGTGGAGAAGGGAGCAGTGGGTCCCTGCTTACGAAAGTTGAGTGTGTGAGTCTCGTGACATTAGCTGAGAAAGTGCTCTCAAAGAGGACTTGGCACTTGGCTCAGGATAGAAAATTCTAGCTAACTATGTGTGGATTTCCAACCCAACCCTGCCTTTTCCTTGGAAATAGAGATTTTTGTTAAAATCATTGCTACTGCTTCCTTGTGAGTAATTATATCCTAGCCCAGTGTTTCCTCTTTAAGTCACATCTAAGCTGGGTCTCCTGTGAGTTACAGACTCTAGACCCATTCTCCCCATGTCAGGGAGGAGGAAAAATGGGTTTCTCAGAATCTCTACAGGCAGGCAATCACAAACAAGGCAAAGATGGTCACAGGTACCCTAAGTTTGGACTGGGGTGGGGGTGTCCTGAGACTGCAGGGCACTTACAACTTATCTCATCCTGATTGCTCACTCGGGATCTTCCTTCTCTGGTATGTTCAGCTACAGGGAAATTTGTGAGGAATTTGCGTAAACCTAGGTGGAGAACAGGGAAAGTGACCAGGACTTTCGAATCTGCTTTGATTGGCACCTCTGAGCTTACAGAATGTTTTCTCAATTGCTGCCTTAGGGTTGACTTTAGGGTGTTCCTTTCACAGTGACTGATGCTGGGAATGTGAAAGAGTTTGCATACATTTTAGGTGAAGAAAACATGTAAACCTACAATGTGTACATAGTAGCACTTAACATTGAACAAATAAGGGAAAATAACCCAAAATTTATTCAACCTTCATTTTTTATATAAAGTATATTGTAGAAAACATCTTTTGGGGGAAATAATAGGGACATCTTTCTTGAACAATCTTTGTTGAGCATGTTCTGAGTTCTTTTACTAAAACAGTCATTGTGATTTTATTTATTATTCAACTCTTACTCAATACCATATATATATATATAAATATTATATATATATTAATATATATGGTATATATAAACTTAAATGTAAATATATATATTGTACATGATTTTTTTCATTGTGATACAGAATACCTAAGTGGAAAGTCTAACAATTCCAGACCTGCAGATCAATGTTCTTAGTGTCATACTCACTGTCTTATATGTCTCCCTCAACCCTTCCCGCAACTCTCTCATCAGACTCCCTGAACTTCACTCCAATGTTTGGGTATGGGTCTCCTCATCTCAGCTGCTGACGGAGCCTCTCAGAGGACAGTTATGCTAGGCTCCTGTCTGCAAGCATAGCAGGGTATCATCAATAGTGTCAGGAACTGATGCTTGCCCATGGAATGGGTCACAAGTTGGGTTGGTTACTGGTTGGCCATTCTTTCAGTCTCTGCTCTATCTTTGTCCCTACATTTTTTTTAAAGACAGTATTAGTGGGTGTGTTAGTGTCCTTATCCCTCCACTGGGGGTCCTGCCTGGCCACAGGAAGTGGCCACTTCAGGTTCCATAGCCCAACTGCTAGGAGTTTCAGCTAAAGTCACACCCCATAGACTCCTGGGAGCCTCCCCCAATTCAGGTCTCTGGCACATCCTAGAGATGCCCATCCCCTCACCAGCTGCAAATTTCCATTAATTCTCCTGGCCCTCTGGCTCTCTCTCCTGTCTCTCCCCACACCTGATCCTGAACTTCCATTCCCTCCTCATGACCTTTCCCATCCAGTTGCCTCCCTCCATCTGTTTTCTGTGGCTATTTTATTCCCCCTTCTAAGCATCCTTGCTTGGGTCTTCCTTCTTGTTTAGCTTCTTAGGGTTCATGGAGTCTCAAGTTCTCTATTATCTTCCTATGATGGGATTTAAAGTCATAGTATTGTTCTTCAGGTATATTAGGCTATCAGGGCTTTCTGTAGTAGGATAGCTCGGTTCTAATAGTACCATATTACCCTGGCTTTTGTTAGTTGTGTTCTTGCACTGGCCTTTAGCCATCTACTTGTCTCTGGAGTTGGCTGGCCTGGTAGTTCTTTATGGTAGCAGGCCTCTAGGACTGCAGATAGAGCTGGTAGACCATAATGGCAGCAGAGCTCAGGTTGTCTTGGGTGGGAGCAGACCTCCAGGGAGGTAGGCAGGGGTGTGGCCCTAGGAGTGAAGTACAGATCTGGGATTGCAGGTAGAGGCAGAGGATAAGGAGTAGAACTCAAGGCTGCTGGGCTTGACAGGAACCTAGCAGTCAGGGGGTTCGGGTGTGAGTGTCTCACCTGGTTGTCCTGGGTGTCAGCAGGCTTTCACGGAGGCAGGCTGACCTATGGGCCAGGGAGTGAAGTGCAGATTTGGGATTCACTTAATAAATATTTATACTTTGATCAAATTCTAAGTTTTCTTCCTATCAACTTTATGTTGGATTTACAAATCAATAACAAAAATCCCTCTTCAAGAATGTGGTCCCTCTGTTGTGGCTTAGGTGGATAAACAACCCCACTTTATTCTGGGAATCCATTTCCTGCAAAGCAACACATCCTAAAGGTGTTACTCTAACCTCCCACCCAGCATTTCTTCCCTGAGCTGCTCTGCAGGGCTGCACTAAACTAACCTGTCAGGGAGCAGGACAGCAGACCTTCATCCCAGAGGGTTTGCCCACACCTGGGAAGAGGGACTGCTACACAGAGAGGAGAGAAGATCCTGAGCAGACACACCCTTCTGCGCTTTCCCACTGGGACCAGAAGCTCTTGGGAAATCACATTCCAGCAGGGCTGTGGATTCCTTATCAAAGCTAAGCTCACACCCTGCTTCCCTGGACGCTTGTATGTTCTTGACTGAAGTTCTACATAGCATCTCAATTTGCCTGGGCAGATTATCTATTTCACATATCAATCTTTCTTTTGACTTTTATTTTATTTTTGATATTACAGTTTAATTACATTTTCCCCTTCACTTCTCTCCTTCAAACTCTCACATATATCTCTCCCTGTTCTTCAACTTCATGGCGTCTTTATTTATAAATTGATTTTACATGCATATATGCATTTGAATACACACACACACACCCACACACACACACACACACCACATCCTGCTGAGTCCTTTTTTTTTTAAACTATTAAGCCATGAACCCTCATCAAATAAGGCAATGAATTTTGGGAGCCTTGGTTACTCATCTCCTAGGACCTTGGGGTTCACATTTCACATCCCCTGGTGCCTTCATACCTCCAGGGATGGACATGCAAAACAGGAGATCAAGACTGGGAGGAAGGACACAAGTGAAGACTCAAAAGCCTGGTTGTGTTTCTTATCTCTGCCTGGTCTGATTTGCATGGAAATTACTTTTTTTTTATTAAGAAGATGTATAACACCATCTCCATCTACACCACAGTAACCACTCACACCTCTAAACTGGTTCACTCAAGCCTGCTTATGTACAATAAAAATGCTTTTTGAAGTGACCACTCTTTACCTGGAACACCTGGCTCAGGTATGTGTGCACCTGGCTGTCTCCATAGGAAGATCTTCACTCACCTCAGCATGGGCCCTGATGGCATGGGTTTCAAGCTTGCCTTTGTATGTACACTATGTATACTACATTATATGTCTGCATTTCTATATTCTATCATCTGTCCTATCTATCTATCTATCTATCTATCTATCTATCTATCTATCTATCTATCATCTATCTACCTATCATCTATC